TTATTTTACTGCAGGAAAATAAAATCTGCTTTTCATCTTTGGTAGTTTGTTTTGGTGGAATTTGCTTTTGTTTCTTTAGGCTTTAGTGGCCTGAAAAATATATGCCACCTATTTTCTTTTTTTTTTTACTTTTCTCCTCAAGATATTTGAAACTATTGTTGTTTTTCATGTGGAAAATGTATATATTGTTTACAGAACACTAAAACGAAAGATTTTTTTGTATCATCTCAATTCTCTTTGATAAAAAGGTTAAAAGATATAGAGGGGAAACATTAACAATTACATCTGACAGTTTTCTTGGGGGGAGGAGGGCAGGAAGGGGAGGCAGAGGAGCAAAAGTTCAGAGTTAATTTTAATTGAGGAATTTCCCCATATTTTGTCGTTCAGCTTTTGAAACTGTGACCACAACAGACTGTTTGAACTGTGGCACGAGAGAGACTGAAAATTTCCCCAGGCAACTTTACGCAGGTATTAGCCATAGAGTTGACAAGGAAAGCTTTTAAAGTACGATGAAATTCAGCACGGGCGCTGCACCCAGCAGAGGAAACTCTTGCCATCTGGAGACGAGGATGACCAGTGGCCACAGCAGTTCGCAAAATCGCAAGAGCTGCCAAAATTAAACTGTGAAGTCAGGCGGGAAGGCAACCAATGACCGGCGAGATCAGAAGTTCAGAGATGCCCCAGATGAGCTCCAAACAGCAAGTGTGGCCGACGTACACCAAAGTTTATTACGGATGTTGAGAGGAGGGGAAAATATCCGTGCAGAAGATGCCCAGCTGGCGAGGAGGGACTGGTGGTGATGCTCAGGTCACTTGATGAATCCCATTGGCCAAGTCCCTGGGAGATCCCACCCATTCGCAAGTGTAAAATAAATCTCTAAAGTTGTACCTCGTGTACCACTTGACCTTATTGCTTTTAGCCTGCTGACTTTATAACTATTTATTTATTTTATTTTGGTTTGTACCCAAAGAGGGGCTCGAAGGAAATGAATTTTGAACCGGCACCTTTCACCACCTTGCAGTACTACCCTGATCCCTGCATCCAGCGGTGAGTCTCTGAGCATGACGTAACTCTCTCCTATCGCAGGTTTGATCTGAGTGTCTTGTGTAATTGTTAACTTTTCTGCTATCGTCCGGCGGCAGCTGGGCTGCATGCGGAAAAAATGTGCCGCCCTCTTCATGCTCAGTGGAGCTTATTATTATTTTTGGCTTTCTAACAGGTTACTGTTTAATTATAGGCATCCGTATAAGATATCTCCCTTTTCCTCTTTGGCATTAGAGAAAAAAAAAAAGATAAATAACATGAAAACTGATAATATTTTTCCCCTGTGTTTTGGAGCAGGTTACTCTGTGCTTTGGGTAGTGCAGGAATTGCTTTAGCTTTCTATAGTGTGTTTATTTGTTCCTTTAAATGGAAAAGCTCCTGGAAAGAATATGAGCTTAACTATTAAGCTCTGAGATTTTGGAATTTAAAGGATAAATAAATCATTTAAAAGATTCAAAGAAGAAAAAAATCGCCTTCTATGAGAGAGCCCTTTTCCAAGAATATTCCTTCATTCTGTTTAACAGCCAACATCAGAGCCTGACAACCACTCTTATTTTAGCTTTGTTGTTACGCTGAGTTTTATAACTTTCCAGCAGATAAAAGAGCATGTCCGAACGAGGTATCAGGGTATCACATTGTCAGTTTGTTTGTTTCTCCCAACAGAAGATACTATATTTAAGCATGTAAATGACATGTAGATGGTATTTTTCCAGTCGTAAAGTTCGGAGAGGTGAAATCCTCTGAGTGCAGTCACTTGTTGAGCTACTTTAAGGCTAGTTTCTGGCTGTGTGTTGAAAAAGCCCTGGCTGGTGTCTCACCAAGGCATTCGATCCCCAGGAGGGTTAACTATTAACTCTGCATCGTCTGCAGGGTGCTGGGGAAGGCTGCTTGTGTTGCATAGCTGTCTGGTGAAGAAAGGGCTTGGCCACCATCACCCAGCCCACGGCATTACAGGCAGCTTTGTGATCTCTTCTTTTTTTTTTTCCCCCCCACTATTATGATTTGTTGCAATGTTTGTGGGGTGTTTTTCCCCCCTTAATCCTCTGGGTGCTCAGTGCCACCGCTGTGCGACAGTCCTGGGGAGGAGTGTGGAGACCTGGCAGTGAGGAGGGGCCGCATTTGGGGCCAGCGGAGGGGAAGGAGTGGAGGGGAGCTGGGAAAATAGCGCACGGTCCTTGGCCGTGCTGCCGTGGCAGAGGAATGTGGAACGAAGCCGGGGGTATTGGTTTCCCTGGCGAGACCTTCCACAACACGAGCCCCAGGGCTGGCCGGGCACATGCAGCCCCGCTCTGATCTCCCGCAAACCCGCCCAGCACCACTGACCCCGATGGGGATGTGCCTGTGTCCAGGAGAAGAGCGGTATGAGAGCAGCGCCCATCCGGGAAGGTGGATTCAGGCTGGCAGCAGCGGGGTCTTTAGCAGACAAAGAAGTTTCAGTGGCTGGAAGGGACAGCCAGGCAAATTCCCAAATAGATAGTTTAAAAAAATTAAAAATAAAATTGGAAAGTGTAAAGATGCACTGGGAAGTGTACCTGAGCTCTGGGACAGCTTCCCAGCCCCTGTGAACTCCTGCCATTCACATCCCATCTTATGTCAAAGAACAGGTTCATAAAATTGGCGCTGTGGCTCAGGAAAAAAAAAAAACAGCTGGAGCAGGAATTGAAGACAAAAAATTCCCTTGGCTGTATCCCATTTTTAAATGGGCCTTTCTCACCTTCAAATCTGCGTCCTCCAGCAAGTTAGGCCTTTCACTGGAAATGCTGCTCCTCACCGCACGCCTTAGCAGCGTGATGAGTTTTTAAGTGACCATTGCAGTATGGGAAGCCTCAGGACAGCTTGGGAGAGATAAAGTTTGTGACACCCCTCAGTCATAAAACCTGATTGAGATGTAGCTTAGAGTAATAACGTGTCTCAGCTGTTATGCATGTCTGTTTACATGAGCTGAGAGTGGCATTTGTCCGGTTATTAGTGGCTGTGCTCTGCCACGGGTCAAAATCAGCTGAAAGTTGGTCCCAGAGATACTTTTCTCAGTCTGAAGAGATAGATGGTCTTCAGCTTTAAGCTCCATTGGTTGGATATTCATGATGTGCTGGGTGACATTCGTCTGACTGATTTAACAAAATTGAATAGTTTCATAACTGCATTTATTTTGCACAGTTTGAAACACTTTTGCTTTGATGTGGTCAAAGTGCTTTATTTAGCTAACACCAATGTGCTTCTCTGCAACTTTAAAATTACGTCTAGTAATAATCTAAACAGCAAACTGATAACGTTGAGCTGAGGCATGCTGGCAAAATAATAAGTGAAAAGCGTTTGAGACCCCGTTAAAATGGGCAGGGGGGGGTCACACAGATTTCCCTGTAGGTCCGTGTGGAGGGGAAGCAGTTACAAATCCCAGTTAGCGCTAAGATTTGTGGCTTACATTTACCCTCTGCTGTTGCTTCATCTATTAATCTCTTTACTTTGGGGGTGTCTGGCAGGCAGACAGCGTGGGAGCCAGCTAAAACACTTCCTCTGTCAAGAGGTGAACACAGATCACGCTTAGGAGCATTAACTAATGTGCCATTATAATGCTTGTATACTTACTGCCTGTCACTTCACAGCAGTGAAACTATGTGCTGCGGCTATGGTATATCTAAACAGCAGAGTAATTCATTGCCACAGATGAGGAAAAAATAGCTGTGTGCCCAGACTCCCAGTGCTGCGTGGTGTTGTTCAGGCTACTCCAGCCCCTGTCTCAACAGCCCAGCTCTCTCGTTTAGGCTATTTATTTCTTTGTAAAAGTGGGCATTAAAACAAAAGCACCCCCTGCATCACACAAAAGTATGGACAGCTCAGCTGGGACACAGGACAGCAGCGTCCTCCTCCACGAACCCCACTTGTTGCTGTGGGCACTGGAGTTTACTGCTGGAGCTGCAGCCCAGCTGAGAGAGGGGCACCAGGCACTGATGGGGACGTACGTCCCTGTGCAGAAGTGAGGGATGCAAATGTAGCGTGTGAACATCTGAAGTGAGCTTGGAAAGGTATACCCTGAGTGGGCTCATCTTCATTTCTTCTCAATAGAAAGAGCTAAGAGATGCTAAAATTCAGCAACAACGGAGTTGAACTAAAACCTCACTGTTTTTCCACTTCTGCTTCCCTTATAAAGGGATTTGCATGAAATGCTTGAAATCGGTGATAAAGCAGGCTCAGTGCTCCGGCGCCTGGGCCTGGGAAGGTGTTGCTGTAAGGACAGAAGCACCTGCATTGAAGCACCAAGTCGCTGACCCCCGTGAATTACTTGTTTGGATGGTACCGTGGGAGCTCATCCTGTGCTGCAGAAAACCCAGGCTAGCTCTGAGTCATAAAATGAGCTAACTATCTGAAACGGACGGGATTTCCACCTTCCAAGAAGTGCCCACCTAGCTGCAGTTGAAAGCTGCTAACGTAAGATAAAGAAGGCACTGTAATTATGATCAAAGTCCAGCTGTTGAGAGCTATGTAATTAGTCTCTCTCTCCAAAGCTGCTTTTTTTTCAGCTAATGCCTGGTTGGGGGAGTGATGTTTACAGATAAGTTACTTGTGTTCTTGGAAATAATGGTCATTAGGCTGTGTTTTACCCAGGAGCCCTCTTCTTTTGGGGCTGTTGGGAATGCACCTGCTGGTGCACTGGACTATGGTCCTGCCTGCTCTGCTCGCCCCTCTCTCCGCGCCCAGGCTAATTGGTGGCCTCAGGGTTTTGCATCCCTGATGTGCTGAAGGTGTTCGCTGTGGCTTACTCCTCCCTTTTGAATGAAAGGCCTCTCAAGCAAGCTGCTCTTTCCTCTTTCATTTCTGGCTTTGTATTCTCAGCATAATGTGATACAGCCCAGCCTCCCAAATCTCACTAATAACAGAGGCTTGAGAAACAACCCTGAAATCCTCTCGTCCCTGCAGCATCCGTGCTGGAACCTGATTTCTCAGACATGGTTCTGGGTTTTGGAGGGGTTGCCAAAAAGAAAAATCAATCAAGAAAAAAAAAAAAAAAAACCCCACCAGGTATGTAGGATAAGACATGGTTCTGGGTTTTGGAGGGGTTGCCAAAAAGAAAAATCAATCAAGAAAAAAAAAAAAAAAAAAAAAAAAAACCCACCAGGTATGTAGGAAAAAAAAAAAATCTATTTTTAGAAGAGGATGAGGGAAACTGTCAGAAGTTAGTTGGGGCATGGAAGGGAGGGGAGGGCATGGGCCATGGCAGCATCATCTACTGGGTGCTGTATCTGACTGGGTTTTGGTGAGCAGGGTCTAGTTCCAGCCAGCCAGACCTCCTGGGTTCAAAGGGATCTTTCATTGGGAGCATTGCACATGTAGCTTCACCATTCTTCGTTGGTTCCCACACGTATCAAACAGGGCTGGTAAACGGACTGCAATTATCAGATAGGAGTCTCGCCAATGTTAATGCTTGCAATGCAGCACAAAGGTGAAAAACTCACTGTACCCAGTGCTCATCATTGCTAATGGGCAGTAATGAAAGAGCAGGTTTCCTCCCTTTGAGTTGGGAGGGGGCACATTCAGGCAAACGTGCTGGCTACCCCTCCTGATCACAGGCAGCAGTGTGCTGTGTCCCTTCATGGTTGTGAATCAATGCTGGCGTAAGCAGCTTTTCTTTCACTCGGGTATTAGCTGAGTGACATTGTGACAGAGCTTTGCTTAAGCTGTAATAGGGTAATGTCTTGCCAGGAGTGTTTCATCCCATGTGCAGGCTGTGCAGAATCCTTGCATTTGGGCAACTGCACGCTTTTTCTCTTTCCTCATACTACAGCTTGCTGAAGAATAACTGAACTCCTGCTATGACAGGGTTGACAAATCTCATCTACCTTCACCTTTGAGGTGGGAGCCCAAATTTGCCATGTTGACAGAAAGACCTGAAGCCAAGTAAGGAAAGCCACATGACTTGGTATAGATCTATTTGCAGAAACGGCCAGTGATACAGCAGGTACTTTCCAAAGACTCAAAGAGCGGCCAGAAATTGTTCTGAGCAGCTT